CCCGCTATACCAACGCAGCACATACGTCACAACAGCCGAAGTGTTGCATCGTCTCTTTTTCGAAAAAAGTGTTGCGAAAATTGAGGCCGGCGAGGAACGATGTATACCAGCGCGAAATATATGTAATAAACCACCGCAGCAATCCTACGCTGCTTGCGTTCCAGCACCACCATGATAGTGTTTTGCGCAAGTGGACGGATAGAATGGGCCAGAATTGAACGCCACCGTACCTAATATAGTTTATTTAATTACCTATTTTAAAATACATTACAGGCCTCTAGTGTAAAGGAGGAAGTACAAAAGGTGGAATTTCAGTATCGATCACAAAATACAAATACGTTAACAGCGTTCATAAACCAAATGGCAAAGAGCAGTACGTAAAGTATACATGGCAGTACTGGTGAAAAAAAAATCAAAACACTATCAAAGATGAAACATATAGCAGGAAAATAATCACAGGAGGCATTATATTCATTATGTATAGTCGAGCAAACTTCAGATTTTATTGGTTCACATACGAAGAAAAAAAACGAAATAAAAGCCATACTTTACATGGTGGTATAAAATGAGGAATTGAGAAAATAAGAAAGAAAGATTAGAATTACACAAAGGGCCTACAGCTAAAATGGCAGATTTTCTCCGCTACCTTGTGCTAATAAATCGCGAATTTCTATATAACTGTAGCGTTAAAGCGTGGCCGTGAATGAGCATTTCATCGCGTGGGATCCACAACAACTAAGAGTAAAAAAAAATCTGCCCCCTGCCTTTGTAGCAATAACTGCATTCGTAGTTACGAACAATAAACGTTGGCTTTTTGTCTATTTCAAACATCCGGAAAGCGAAACAGGGAATCTGTCTCTTTGTACATTTACACCCATGAGCTTGAGCTCTAATGAAATGCTATACCCACTATTGAGTGCGAGAGCTCGAAAACAACCAGTATACACATGTTAACGCAGTGTAGGTTGTTACATTGTACAATAATCACATATAACAACCCAAATATGTACTGTCACGCACACACATGTGCACAAGTTATTTCATTGTACCCAACTCGAGGCAAAGCGGCAGATTAGGGCTCGTATTCCTAAACGCTCTTTGACTCGAAACTCGACATCGAGGGATCTTTGCGACTTCTCGCGATGAAAAAATCACGAGAGACAGTCCTCAAGGACACCTTGAGGTCGAGTTTCGACTCGAGGAGCGTTTGGGAATACGGGCTGGGCATCCCATCATCTGCACCGCAGCTTGCGCTTGAAGTTACGGTATACTTAGTCGGCCCATGACGATGCATTCAGCACCTGCGGAAGGTGCGATACGAGAGAGCAGGTGGTGTTTTTGAGGGCTTTATATAGCAGGATGAAGTGTGACGCTCATAGGCTCACGGTCGCAGGTTCAATTTTCGACTACAGCAGCCGAATCTGTGCAATGATACATATATTTAGATTTAGGTGCATTATAATGACATTTTATTATTGATGCTTTTGTCTCCCCCCCCCCCTCCTTTTCCTTGCGTATTACCCTGCAAAAATCATTTCAGGATAAATAATTAAGGAAACCAGGAGGTCAAAATCAATAAGGAGCATTTCCCATTTCGGCGTGCCTCCTAATTATATAGTTGACATGGCAAGTAAAGGACAACCAATGATTACTGCGGCCCTGCTAATCAGCACGACTACGTTTTATTAGTCACTGAATGAAAAGAAAAATTTGGGGGACCCTTAAGCGACGCCTTAAAAAGTTGAACGTGACAGCGACAATCTATTTTTCTTGTCTTGTCTTGTCGCCTAGGATATCCTGGCTCATACACACATGGGGGGATTGGCCACACTGTACCTCATAATAGATAATTTGTTTACAACGCTTGCTAAAAAAAAAGAGAAATTAGACAGGAACAATAATAATGTTCCTTTAAAAAAACGTGAAAATGTGCAGAAGAATGTGATAAACCAGAATATATAAAACAAATTAACAAGAATGCGGAAGGGGGACAAAGAATTGGATATATCTGGCAGTACCACTAGCAGCGTATCCTTCCGGTTGCCTGATTGAATTTCGGACACATAGGACACCAAATTGTTACGAACTTGCACCCACTACGTGTCCTCAAAAGCCAATTCCAGCGTTTTTTTATACCATGTCAGGCCAATGGTGATTTTATGTTGCTGAGATGCTCTTGTCACGCGCCAGATAGCCTAAATGCTCGACAAGCTTGTTAATAGTTTTTAATAAGTGAAAAACCGCAATACCGAAACCGAAGTTCAAACTAGTGTGCTTGTACGTGTGACCTAAGCGTTTGCCCGAACCTGCCTGATTGCGCATAATGCCCACCAGATGACACTACAAGTCAATGCCTTCCAGTATGTGACTCATACGATCGGCTAATACGATTACGCTGTTATGGTAAATATAAGGCGAATCGTATGTGGCCATGCAACGCAACGCCACTTGCCACCTATCGCACGCCCACCATCACGGAAAGGGACATCACACGCTCAACCAAGGAAGCACTGGCCCAACCCTCAAAATCAACAGCAGACTAGCAGCTGGATGCTGCCACTCAGAGGCACATCACTTCCATCACTTACGCCAGGCAAAACTCAACGTCCCACACACAGTGTTGCCATTAAATTAAATCTGGCAAGCGTGGCGAGCGTTTGGAGGCCGCTTATCACAGCCGCTTATCATACAGCCACTTATCACAATCATTGTCCATATCCCTAGTAACATGAACTGGCACTCTTTGGCCATGAAATGGCTATCTTGCGCCACAAAACATCAAACATCACCGTTTGAGAAGAATCTGCGAAACTATCAAGCATGTAATTTGGCATGACTGGCGCTAACGTGCAAGTGAACGTGTTCATTGAATTTCATTGAGATCCATTGACCTCTAAAGGTTGCCGGAGTTGGGCTTCAAAGACCAAATTTGGCGATTTTTTTGGCCATTTCAGGGCAACGATGTTACTGTGTTCCCGCGACACTCTTGTCACGCGCCCGGTACCTGAAATGCTCTGTAAATTTGAAAATAATTTTTGATAAGCAAGAAGGCGCACTACCGAAAGCGAAACTCAACCGGCGTATACGTCATACGTAGCACACACAGTCTACGTACTACGAAAAAATTGGTAAGAACCGCAAGCCGTTCATGGCGTCTGGAGCCAAATCGGTGAAGCGCCAGCCAGACACCATGGAGGAAGGAAGATTCCCAAGCAGGGGAAGTTACTTTCACTCTATTCACAAGCAGAGGCGTGGATGTGTGGTAGAACGCCGGCTTGCTTCGCAAAGAACCCGGCATTCAATTCCCCCTCGAACACAGAACGTTTTAATATTTGTTTTATTTCCACCTTTCTCATTTTTTTCGGTCACGCAAAGATGATTTCTCGCTCACAACAGTTGGCGCCGACGCCGGAATTTCAACAAACGAGCTCTTTAACTTTGATGTGGTCATATTAAGGCAATAGCATTAAACTCCTGTGTTAACGTTGCGCGGAGGATTTACGTCCGACACATGGACGCGGCCGTCTTAGGCTGCGAATGTTTCCCATATTTTCGTGTGTGATTACGTGAATCACCAAGGTCTCGAAACGTGTAATGCATCAACCCGGCCATTCTTATGCATGAACTTCTACCGTAGCGCTGTTCGTTTGTTAGTTAGAGGCACGAAACGGCAAGGTTAACCACCCAATATTTTGGCCATCCGTAAAAACACACGTGTAAAAGCTCTTCCGTATATGCACATCCGTAAATGCACATCCGTAAATGCACATCCGTAAATGCACATCCGTAAATGCACATCCGTAAATGCACATCCGTAAATGCACATCCGTAAATGCACATCCGTAAATGCACATCCGTAAATGAACATCCGTAAATGAACATCCGTAAATGCCCATCCGTAAATGCACATCCGTAAAAGCTCATCCGTAAACTCAAGATCTGTAAAAGTACATCCGTAAAAGAGTCCACGTATGGGCCTAGGGCATGTTGTTTCACTGGTAGACAAATGGCCCGGCAAGCAGTGCGGTGAAGACCAGCCACTGGAGCTTTCTTTTAAACACCTTATCTCCGGCTTATCTTGGTGAATAAACAAGCTCCACCTTTTTCTTGTTTGCACCCCGTATACGTAACACGGCGTCTATCCTCGATAGCATTACTAGGCTGCCCCGCGCCACTCTCGTTCGTAACGTTGGAGCGCCGGAAAATGCCGTTCCCTTCTTGCTGCATCTTTCATCCTTCCACGGTTCCTTCCGCGTTTCTTCCTCTCTTATCGTTTCCGTAAGCCTCGCCCGTCGCGGTCACCGTATCTCTCTTTTTTTTATCACCCACTTCCGTCGCCTTGCTCCCGTCGCTCATCCGCTGCCGCCACCACCTGATTAGCTTTTGGCGGCCATGGCGTTGTAATCCAATTGAGCGCCTTATTATCCTTTTGCCGCAACCAAAAAGGAACGTGAGGGGGGGATCAAATTCCCTTTAAGGAGATAATTCCCGTCTGATCCTCTCTCGTGCCCGTTTCCATTGATCCCCAAACAAGCGCGCACTTTTTTTTTTTATTTCCCGCGCTCTTCGGCGTCGGCGGCGGGCGAAGCGCGCGCCCGCAGTCGCGCGTTCTCCGATGAAGCGAGCGCGTCGCGCGCGCGCGCGCTTTCTCTCCCGCGGGAGACCAAGAGAAAACGGAACAAAGGCGCAGGAAAGGATGTGGGCGGAGCTTCCTAGACACCTCGCCCCTCCCACCAGCGGCGACTTCCTTTGAAGTGATTCAAAACCAAACAAGAGTGGAAAGAAGGGTGGGAAAGAGAGAGTGGTTCCGTGGTGGGGGCGGGTCGCTTACGCGACCTGATGCCAAAGGAGGGCGCGCGTGCGTCAGCTCGCGCTACGACGCGTTACGGCGGCAAGAGTGGGCGGTGCGTGCGGGCGCCCCCCCACGGGGGCGGGGCGTGTGCGCGCGAGCTGCGTCCGCCGATGCTACACAGTGCGCCTGGTCGTGCGGCGTTGCGCAGGCTGCCCCTGCCATCGAGTGCGAGCAAGCTGGCGTTTCAACCGGCGGCTGCGGCAGGACCGGGGCCTTTCGGCAGCTGCCAGGCGACTGCGGGCGGCGCGGCCATGGCTGCTGCGTACCACCACCTCAAAGGTCCCGCGGCGGCGGCCGCGTACTCCATGAACGGCATCGGACTGCACACCTCGGCGGGCGTCGATCTGCTTCACCCAGGCTATCCCGGTAAGCTGGATTAGCGGCTCGCGAAGAGCGGCTTTTCGCGTATCTCTCGGAAGAAGAGGAGCACGCGTAGCGGCGGAGGGTGCGGGGAGAGGAGGCCTTGAGAGCCTCAAAGCCGATTACGGCTTTGACGGATGCCTAATTGTGTGCCGCGCGGGTATGAAGAGGGGGGGGGGGGGGAGGAAGCTTGTAATACGCCTTGGCTCGGTGCTCGCCCTCTCGTGGTGCGGGCCCGGGTCCCCTTCACACACCCCTGCCGTTTTTGCGTAAAAAGCCTGCGCCCACCGACTCTGCACGGTTTCCTTTTTCTCAAAAACAGTGCACGGAGCGGTACGGCTGGACAAGTATCGTGAGGATTGGGATCAACCACCGGCACTGGATGACGTCTGGTACGGATCGGCTGGCTGCCCGAGTGAGTTATCGATACTACTTTTCCATTTTACCCTTCTTATTCCGGTGCGATTCATGTGTACTCACGTTTTCGTGTACTACGTGGTGGTGGGGGACGACCGTCGGATGTCGCCGGGACGTCCTTCGGATGTGTGGACTTGGCCGTTTCCCAGCGCTGATGTGCGTCGTCATAGGGTCGTGTCTCGCGGTGTGAAGAAAATGCCTCGCTCGCTGGAGGACGTGATAGTTCCCGAAGCTTGTCGCACGTCACGTACACGAGTCGGTTTCGTTTTCCACTTGGTGTCGAAGATTCTTCCATCATCGAGACGTCGACAATCTTCGGGGCGGGCATTGAAGCAAACGAGATCCAGAAAGCGGGTGCAAGAACGAAAGTGCCTCGCACGGCGAATTTGTCTTCGATCGCCGAAGAAACCTGCTGTTTTCGACGTATCAGCGTTTCGGTGATTGTGTATGTGTGTGTGTATGTGACGCTGATGGGAGGGAAAGGGGATGAGAGAGGAGGCTGTTTCTTTTTTTAAGAGTTTGCGTCAAGAAGATGAAGGAACGAAGGAGGGTTTCGTGTTGAGCCATTTACAGAAACGCTCGCCCCCCGATATGATGACCAGCCACTCTCTCCCCCCTTCGCTGATTCTCTAACAACCAGCCATGGCGAGAGGCCGGGCGATGGATTCTGGATCCGGCCATCGCGGAGTTTCTTTTCCTCCGGGCTGGATTCCGCCGTGGGAGGGTCTCTGCGTGGCCCCGCCTACCGAGAGAACGAAAAAATAATTAAAGTCCGGTTCCCGTTGGTCGAGCTCCACGGCGGGCTCGGGGTCTGTTGTGACGTGTTCCGATAGCGTAAGGTTTCCTCCCTGTTGTATTGGGCGCTGTGCATGTGTCGTGGGCACCGACTGGCGCCTACGTGGCTGGCAAATTGGTTTGCCCACAAGCCGAAAAGAAGCTTGTTCCAAAAAAAGTATTTGAGTGCTTTGTTGGTGCCAGTGCTACGTTCCAGCTTCTGGCCCTGACCCTGACGTGACTCCTGCGAACGATAGCTTTTCCATCTTTCTTGTTCTGCTTCGCGTAGAAGGGGTCGGCTTGTGGGAGAGTTCTTGCTCGACCTTCTCTTGTTTTGGTCGATATGCGCGTTTTTATACGCATCCTTTTCTGGGTTTGCGGGGTGGGCAGTGACTTAGAGCTTGCGCCTTGGCGTCGTACCATAACAGACGGCCCTCCTGTCAGTCTGAAGTGACTCGGACGCCCAAGGTTGGCGGCATGATCAGCTCGCTTATCATCATCAGAGAGTAGGCGTGCCCGCAGAAGAAATGTGAACCGCCATTGCTGGCAGAGTATACAGCCAAGGCAACTGCCATGGCCTCTATTTTGAGCACTGGTTGCCATCACTGGATGACGACTGCAGTGCCTTTGACGCCCATGTTTCGTGTGCAGGTGTAGTGTGAAGCGCTTCCTCGTATTCTGAGTCATGAATGCTCAGTTTGAGGTGAACAGCTGTATTGTATTCTGTGCGGTAGCCCTTCTTTTCTTCCACGAAACACCTCGAGACATGATTCAGGAGCTTCGCATGAGCAAGTGTGCTATAATATATCCGAAAATATGTAGTCTGTAGAATAGCATACGTGGTTTGGAACATTGGAGGGCTCCGCTTGAAAGTTCTGAGAGGCCGTCTTCCAGTGATGCGAGCTTTTCTTTGATACGTTCGCTGCTTGGAGTTTGTGCTTGAGACGCGTAAGACGCCGATAAGTGTTATGGTAGGACAGCTCATCAAAAATAGGCACCGAATAGAGCAACTCTGATGCAACATCGCGGTTTATGACGGTGTATTCCAGTATCGAGCCATTGGTGAGGGCTTCAAGTTCTTCTCCGACGGCCTGGCCAGAAATTTAGGTTTCTGCCCATCACGACGATAACTCAAGTAACTTGCACGTTGATTGTGAGTGGGGTGGGCCATCTTGATATTTTCCGACATGACACTGAAGCAAAATGAGGAATAAGATCAGTAAGCTAGTGAGTAAGGAGTATACACCCATCACTGCGATCGAAATCACCAGCATGAATTTCGCGCGCCCTCTGGAGCACTGTTGACTGGACCCTGAGGTCCGTGCTTGAGGTGGCCTCGCCACAGTCCTCCTCGCTGGTGGATGGAACATCCCCTGGCGCAAGTCTTTGCCGCAGCTTATGAGCTATAGCGTGTTAAACTCCTCCAGCCAGTTAGTTTCATGTAATACGATTACGATATACAAAGCTTGGTGCTGAGAATGATCGCGAACTTTCTCGCGTAGATGCAGATAGGCATTCGTTGGATAATGAAGCTATTCATGATATGCTAGGGTATGGTCCATCGAGCCCCGTATACGTTAGCTCCAGCAGACTTCAACAGCAGCTGCTGAGGAGGTTCAAGTGGGTGGTGGGTGGTGCATTCACTGCGGAACATTATCAGTGATGGAAGTGCCAATTCAGTTGCTTCAGACTGCTCCAAAAGAGACATGCTTCTACACGCTGCTCTTAGTCTGATTTTTGTTTGTCACTACTCCGGGTGCACTCCGAAAACAGTGGCCTAGCCAGAGAGTAGTGCACCAGGCCCGTGCCCCCCTCTCCTAATTCTTTTTTTTTTTTTGGTCATGGCGTATACAGCCTAAAATGGCACTGGACCACATCGGATGCCAGGCTCCCACTCCAGATCAAAGTGCCCCCATCGAAAAAATACTGCCTACAGCTTTGTCAACACGATAAATATCTGTATAATACAATCTTTTTAGTATGCTACGAGCACGCATTTTTGACGGATCTGATCTCGGTTTTCAACAAGAACTGCCACGTGTAGCATATAGCTCATTCATTCTTCTCAGCTTCACATGCAGGCCACTTCGGTGAAACGTGAAAATGACCGAAATCGCATCGATACAACGCCGATGATGAACTGCTCCTTTGGGAGAAGTTATGTGCCACGTTGCTTACTCCTATCATGTCGCGCTTAGCTTTATAGCGGCTTCATCTGACGTCTTCCACGAGTACTGGTCTTTTAAATACATAGCTCATTTCACGGTGCATTGATAAGTGTTATGAAAGTGTATTCGGTTACAATAACTAGTTTACCATGATATTTTATATTTATATCCAGCGCGTTTATTTACGCTGTTTACAACTGCTTCAGAGAGCCGGGCGTCTTCAGTCGTTCCTTCGTTCTTTAGTTCATTCGTTTCTAGAAAGGTCTGGTCACTGCCCAGGCCTCTTCGGCCAGTGAGTCTCGCATCGACCAGATTCTTCGTGTATTGTTATGTGGACATGTGCCTTCCATTCTATAGCAAGGGTCAGTCTGGTCCAGCAAGGGTAGAGTCATCCTGTTCCCCAAAAATAATCTCAACGGTCCCCTTCACTCAGACGCTCGCGATGGTTCCGGTTCGGGGAAAACGTGAAGATCTTTGAAAATAACTTACCGGCTCTTAAACGTTCGTTTCCTCCGATTTGCGTTGGATTTTGTCTCTCCAATATCTATCGTAACAAGTTATAACATCTGACACTTCGAGATTTCTTTTACTTGTATAGTTCAGTTTGCCTCCTGCTCATAATTGACCATTTGCGAAAAAATCTGCAAGGTGGCTTTCCTACTAGAAGGTTGTTTTTCAACCAAAAAACTCGCACAGACTGCTTTTTTTGCTCTCTCTGCTTTTACCGCCCCTCATTCTAGTGAAGGCACGCGAGTGTTGAAGATCGGGCGAGTTGGTTCATCGTACTTGAACTGGTATAGCGCATTACGGGGAAGAAGAAACGGCCGAGCAGACCTGTCCTCTTGTGTCGGTCTGCTCGGCCGTTTCTTCTTCCCCGTAATGCGCTATACCAGTTCAAGTAAGAAGGCACGGGAGTACGACAAAACAAAAAGGGGGGTGGGTAGTGGAGAAAGGCGAGAACGCAATGAGTGGAAAAAGGGAGTCTGTGAACGAGAGAGATTTTGGTTGGAAAACGACCTCGCGCAGTAAAGCTGCCTTGTCCGAATTTCGCGAATGGTCCATTATACCTGCTCGGAACTAGCGTTTTTCAGAACTAGGGTTTTCCGAACTCCGAACTATAGAGTTTTCTGTTCGGAAAACTCTAATGGATGCTCTAAAGCGATACTCTTTCTGCTTACAAATCGTGCCTCAGAGAGACACTTCCATCGCTTCTTTTTAAGCATTATACCTTTCCCCAGCTCCGGGCGCCAGCTTTTACGACAGATTTTTGTTCCGAGTTGAAGGAAAGATGCATTTCCGATGGAGGCGGAAATGTTGTAGGCCCGTGTACTCAGATTTGGGTGCACGTTAAAGAACCCCAGGTGGTCGAAATTTCCGGATCCCTCCACTACGGCGTCTCTCATAATCAAATAGTGGTTTGGGGACGTTAAACCCCACAAATCAATCAATCAAGGAAAGATGAAAAAAAAATTTAGAAGAAACAATAAGACAATATCACTTCTCTGTAGACGTGTTTTGTCGACTTCCCCATCGGTTCAGACATTTACAACCATAACTGTAGATGTGCGCAAGGCAAGCGTGCGTCACATACGCATGGATACATAGAGCACGTTGTGTTTTTAATTTTTTTTATTTTATTTACATAATACTGCAGGCCCAGTGAAGGGCCCGAGCAGAGGGACGTATTTACAAAGCTCGTAATAAGGACAACAGAAGATCAATGAACATGAAAAGCGCGAAGAATTAAGGACATAAATCAAACAATGAATAATGAAAGACATTTAACACTTTTAACAATACAGGTCAAGATACAGTATGCTCAATTGAGTCTATGCTATTTATGAATAATGTTGGTAATTTATTTCATTGTACATGTATGTATCTATTACACGTGCGTGCGCAATTCCCCCACGCAGTGTTTCCTTTTCACTAGCGTTCGGATAGGGCGCGCGTGTGTACGATATACGGGACAGTGCACGCATGCACAACAGTGCGCCCGAAGTCGTTCCTTCCTCCTTGGCCGCGTTCCGAGGAGCCGATCGCCTTTTGCAACCGC